GAAGACAGTAACATTGAGAAACATTATATTGGTTCAGGAACGGTAAGATTGTTTGGTCTTACGCTAACATCTTTACCTCGCGCACGTTGCTCCATGTCCAACTCCTCTCAATTTACTTATGCGCTCACAATTTAAAACTTTTTTGCAACGTTTTTTGTTTGTAGGTGCTTTAGATTACTTGCTGTCAAGTCAGTTCATCTACAAAGTAATTTGACAGTATCTTGTTATACTTTTATGGTTTTTATTCAATATCACTTATTTTAATTTGATCCTGAGCTTTTGATAATTATCTACGATAGATAGCATAGCAGGATTCATCAGTTCTTGTTGATAATGGAAGCAATAATAAATGCATTTATTTGACACTAAATATAATATTTCATATTTAAATTTTTATATTTTTGTAAAGAACTTTTTCGTATAGGAAAAGTTCTTTACAGTATATTGAATTATGGAAAATACAATGAAATTTCTGCATATGAAACGGTTTCTTTATAGAAAATTGCCACACTTTCAATTATTCTTCTATATTCATGGGAAATGTGACATTTTCCTTCACAAAGTGGAAAAAAGTTGCATACATCACGCTAATTCACTGTTTATCACAGTTCCAAAAGAATTAATGCAAGAAATTGTTAAAAATCTCGATGCTGAGGTCAAATAGCTTTCATTGATCGTAACATTTAACTATTAGACAATAATTTTGATAAAACTGGTCATCGCTTACTACAATTCAGATCCTATTCACCAGTTGTTTCAGAAAGATCCACTTATGAATATCTATACAGTGAACTGTGAACAGACATTCGAACCACTCAAACTCTTTACCAAATCTAACACGTATGTGATGGAACCGGAAAACTTCATTTTTTCAAATGTTAATTTTTCTTTTACATTAAATATGGTAACACAGAGACCTTTCAAAAGTTTTCACGAGTTTTGCGTCTTAAATTTGCGCCTTTGTAGATAACGTAAATTATGAAATATATCAAGATTTGGGTAACTGTACGTTAGCTATCAAGAGCGAATCGAATTCATTTGCCAAGTAACATTGGGGATACCAACATTTCTGAATCAGTACCGCGCAGTGATGGAACCCATTGCTCAGCGTATTACTTTCATTCTAATGAAAACAAATTTCATTCGAGAATTTGCTAATTGTCCATAATAATTTACAGTCTATTCACCAGTTGTTTCTGATGAATTCATCATTGTGAGAGTAAATTAAAAATTATACTTTTTTGTGCATAAAGTAAACATTTTGGCTTGACAGCTATTACATTACCACTGACAATAGTAATGCTACTAATACAAAAAATATAGCAAGAAAATGTTCTGATAAAATTCATTTCTGCAAAAATAAAACCTGGTATTATTTGTATATTAGGTTAAATCAGTAAAGCAACAACACTGTAAGAAAAGAATTTTTTATTATAATTTTACTGCTGTGCAGAAAAAAAGAATTAAAAAACTTACACATCAATTTAGTCATCACGATAATTTTGCTGAAATTCGCTTATCAACCAATCATTGTATAGAATAAATATCTCACTGATATTTTTTATTACCTTTTTTCAAGAGTATAATTTTTAAAAAATTTCAATAAAGCATGCCATCATTGATTTACAATTTTATGACAATAAACAATCATTAAAAAAGTATAAGTTTACAATAAAATTAGCATAACTTGAAAGTGCAATATTTAAATTACTTCGTGCTCAAAGGCATCAATTCGATTTATTTTAAGCAAGAAAACCGGTTGCTCTCAATTTTTCGCAAAATTTTTACAGAAAAAACTAAGGAAGTTACAATGTCTAACTCGTCGTCAAGTATCCCAAAGCCATCATTTGCAAAGGGCGAAATTATTAATAATTCTTGGAAGGTTATCTCACCTAGATTTACATTTTTTGAACTATTGAGAAACACCAATTTTAGAATTTTTTAATTCGAAAAAAACTTGGATATTGGATGAATTTTGATAATTTTGATTATTGTAGGTTATTCGAGGGCTTGGCAGTGGTGGATGTGGGATTGTTTTCGAAGTGGAACGAATAGGAGGGAAGCACGCGGGAATACGTGCTGCCATGAAAGCTGAAACAGTTGACAAGAAGAATAAATATTCTGAAACATTGGCAGCTGAGGTCAAATTTGTCAATATTCAACTTTTTAAGCCAAAAATCACAATTTTGCTGACCTCGATAAAACAATTAAGTAAATCCAAATTAGTCTGAAATTTATTCATTCAAGCTGCCACGTTTAAATATAGATACAGTAAGTCATATCTACAGTTCTAGCCTTGTTTCAGGCTTTAGTTTTACGTCGAATGCAATGGTCTCCTCATTTTTGCCATCTTTACCTGGCTGGTAAGCCATCTCCTGACTGCAATATTATTATTATGTCGCTTGTTGGACGAACACTTTCTTGGCTTCGACGTCAGAATCCTTCCCAAAGATTCTCCCTCTCTACTGCGTTGCGCCTTGGAATTCAATGTTTTGAAGTATTATCATTTTTGTTTTCAAAAATTTATGATAATATCATGTGGTATAACTCTTCCTTCGATCTTTAGGCAATCAAAGATTTACACAGTATTGGATTAATTCATCGCGACATTAAGGGTTCAAACTTTGCAGTTGGACGTGGCGATCTGTCTCGAACCGTTCACTTAATTGATTTCGGATTTGCACGATTTTTTGT